CTTCAGGCGGGGGGTCCCGAGGGGTGGGAGGACAACCTCCTTGTCTTTCAGAGTTCAACTAGAAATCATACTCATTGCTCTGAATTTTTTTGCGGCAAGGGACCTTCTGAGATATAGGTGCCAGTGCTCAAGGCTGAGGGTGGGTCACTGTACAAAATGGAGAGAACCTTCCAAACAGTGCTTACCAACTCTCTCTGGGCCTTCTGCTGCCAGCTCATGCAGCAGGTGGTCTAGACTCTACAGAGAGCAGGCAGGCATGTCAATTGGGACACAAAATTGGCACACACAAGCTTTCAGATTCTCTTTGTGCAAGGCCTCTATCCCCGTGGTGGTAAGAGAACCACGGGAATTGAGGCTTTGCCTGATGGGCAGCTCCATCTATTGGTGGGGAGCATCACCTGCTGGAAAACGAGTCCAGCGTCCCTTGGATACTTCAATTTCTGCATGCCATCATTTAGGAACTCTTGGCCCTGCCAGCATTGATTGCCCTGGGTCTCAGGGGATTGACTGTGCAGGGCCTATTTCTGAAAGAGAAATTATACTGTCGGTAGCCTGGGAGGGAAGAACAGATTGGCATCTTGGGCCCGGGGGGCACTGGGACCCATGGCTGTCCTCCTGTTCCGATCATCCACTAAAGACTGTAGTTGTAAAGTCCGTGCTAGGAAAATGCTCAGAAGCAGATGAGCAGATGAAATAAGATCAGATACCGTCCCACAGACATTCTTCCAAGGCCAGCGGATGGGGCGAGAAAGGATCAGTGAATTCCTGAGCAGGTTGCAACGGTTCCTTGGGGTCCACCTTTGTCCATTCATGAAAATGCAGCGAATAATCTCTTTCCACCTCTACCCTTAGCCCCCCTTGTGGCCCCGTCCCCGCCTCCCGTTGTTGCCATTCCTGTCGCTGGGCCTGTCGCTGATCCTGCCTGTCTCCTGACCAGCTCACTTTTGCCACCCAGTCCCCCCCGATTTCCTCACTAGCCAGTCCTCACAAAACCGGGAGATGATTCTGTTGATGTCCACCATAGTGTGTGCCAGGTTCAGTTTTTCCTTAACGGCCTGCCATTGGGCTGTGATCTCTTGCTGTACTAGTAGTCGTAGTTGCTCCGTGACTTCCCCCTCTTCCACCCTGGCCCGTTCCAATTCTAAGATGCATCTTCTCCACCATATTACCCACAGGATGGTGCGCCTACCCGGGCATTACATGTTCTCCTCAAAGGTGTTTCCCCGTACCTGGGGGCAGTCACCGCAGTGTCCCAATAGTGAGGCCCTCCAGTCCCATGGCCATGATGAGGCCGGGACAACATGCCGCCAAATCCTGTCCCACCATCGCCATAGTAATACTGATGCAGGGCACTGCAGGAAGATATGTTCCACTGTCTCGGGGCGCTTTTTGCCGGGGAAATTTTGGAGGCATCTTCCGCACCAGGGGAGCGCCCTTCCTGCTGCTCCAACTGCGTGTGGTCAATCGACCAGTCGTTGGTCAGTAGGCACCGGTGGACAATTTGCCACTTGGTCAGCCTCATTCTAAGCTCTCTGAACCACTGGATGGGTTTGAGCAGGCCTCTGTCGAGGTTGAGGTGGCATTGCCATCTGTCCTCTACTACATCTTGAGCATTCGGTATACCGTCTTAGTCTTTAGGGGGGCTAGTGCTACTGGTCTCGCCTTCCCACCCCTTTCCGAAGTTATCTGACCTTTCCACGACCATCTTCATTCTTCGGGATCGAAGGGGAGGTCCTCGATCGGGATCATTGGACGATAGGTCCTGCAACTCCTTTCCTCTTCTATCACCCTAATGCGATAGACCTCCCATCTCTCTTTCCAAATAAAAGGTTGTCAACTCCCTCGTAGCTGGCCCTTTCCCGTGGCAGCAAAACATTCGATCAACACTTGCGCTTGATCTACCATGTGCACACGGCCTACCTGTGTTCCATGAACGGGTAGTCCTACCCTGTCCCCTTCCTTTAAGCAAGGGCATTTTCTAAGGATGGCGTACCATTGAAGGGGAAAGCTTTCAATGAGTTTTCCAAAGTCGACTCTATTAGGTGGCAGTATCACAGACATCCTCGCCTTCTTTCTGCACTCTTCCATTCCCCGACTGTCGCATCCCAGAGGTCCCCCACCCTCCAGATCCCGGGCTTCACCCATCCCCTCCATGGTGGGTCTGAACTCACTTGGTCGAGGGAGTCCGTGATTAGCCTACTGCCAAACAGCGGTTGCCTAAAAATTTCCTCCCACCTTTTCGGTAACAAACGGTCGGGAAATGGGAGTTTTCTTCATGTTCGCAAGAGTCGTATCCAATGCTCGTCCACTTGGTCACCATTCCTGTACTTCCTTGGTAATCTCCAATACCTATCCTCGAGTCATACCAGTGGGTCAATCTCTGGTGGGGCCTCCAGGGCCAGGGCCGCGATTTGTGCCAAAGCAAGGGGAACCCAGAGGGAGGATGGTGCACAAATGAGATGCTGGATCCACCAAAGGTTGAGGGACTGAAACTGCATGGAGGGATCCACAATTCCGAGCCCTCCTCTGGCCTTGGGCTGAATCACTGATTCCCAAGCTACTCGGCTGATGGTATGGGTGTTGTCGTTGTCTCCTCTCCATAGAAAGGCCGCCAGCTGCCACTTCAGCACCTTGAGCCCTCCATTGCTCATGGGCCACAGGATGACTTTGTACGAAAGAATGGCCAGTACCACATTATTAATAACTAGGGCCCACCCAAAAATTGATGTGTGTTTGTTGCTCCAACTCGCTAGTTTGGCCTGTGCCGGTCTCGCCAGCCACTCATCATTAGTGTGGGGCTTTCCTTTTGCTGTAACTGAAGCCCCTAGGATTCTAAGAGGATCGTCTGGGGGAAGCCAAGTAATTCGCGGGATCTCAGGGGGCCTTCCCCCCTAGTGGTGCAACCACCAGCCCACGGTCTTTTGCCCATATTCAAGAGAAGGGAATACTCACACTAGGGCTTTTTCAACATACATTTGAACATAATCGTGGTCATGTGCATCCATGCCTGGCCGTAAAAGTGGTCAAATACATCCAGGAAAGTCCAAATGTGAATCTGGCCTATCTCCAAACAGAGGATTTTTTATTTTATTTTATTTTATTTAGATGTAAAAAGCCCAGGTTGTTGTAGAGGTGGGATTCTAGATCAATGATAGTCACCAATAGTACTCGGCCACTCGGTTGTCCAGATGAAACCCTTTGAAGACCCCACCCACCCTTCCTCTCATCTTGTTTGCCACAGCACACCCCCAACCCCCCTGTCCTACCCTAGTGTTAACAACCCGGGAACATCACCCATCACCATCTTGGCAGGGTGACCTGACCAGACAGCAGTTGCAGGCACCCCGGCTACCCCCTTGCTCAGCCCTGGTTGAAGCAGACGTTGTGCAAGCCTGATTGCACATAGACTTCGGGAGCTAGGTATGAACATGCTACTACAGGTCTTCATGAGGAAGCACAGTGGCTCCCGTTTAGCATAGTTGTGTGGTGATGATAGAGAGCTGGGAATCCTCCATTCCCTCGTATATCCCTGGATCCCGCATTCCGGCCCCGCGGTAAGGTGCAGTATCTCCTGACACCCCCGGCATCCCGTACTAAGGAACTGCTATGCCAGCCTCAAGCCCTAAGCTCCCTCGTATATCCCTGTATCCCGCATTCCGGCCCCGCGGTAAGGTGCAGTATCTCCTGACACCCCCGACATCCCGTACTAAGGAACTGCTTTGCTAGCCTCAAGCCATAAGCTACGTACTAGGAGGATAGCCAACCCTAAAATGTGAATCATGGACTGTATCTATTGACCCTGGAGAACAGCCTCCTGATGAGTCGGTGAGACTCCGACGAAACAGTTTGTCACAGCCCCTCGTTTGTTGTCCTATATCGTCACAAATAGAACTGCCCGGTAAACCGTAGGCATATAT